TTTCGTTTCTGACAGAAAAGAAAAATGCTAGGGTAAAATGTTGTGGGGTTATGAGATTTTTGTACGGAATAAATGTCGTTCGAGACATATCAGACTATACTTTTTTTCTGGTGATACTATGTTTGTCTGAACATATATACATATTCTCTAGCCCTGAATTAATCAGGAAGATTAATGTTGAAATGTTGACCTTGGATTTTACTATATTTAGCTGAATTTGTCTGCATGAATGTATAGAACTTGCCAAATTTGTCATTTGAATATCACAAATTTGTCAGAGGTTCAAATTCCTTACAGGATTTTGCAGATCTGTTATCACTTTACCAGGTTAAATAAAACTTATGTCTGTTATTTTCCTTGTACTTACTCTGTACACAATTTTTTTGTAAAGTTTGTGTCTTTATGTGTGTGTGTGTGTGAGAGAGAGAGAGAGAGAGAGAGAGAGAGCATGCCATATTTTTTCCATATCATGTCAAACAGTTCTTTATTTCTGAATTGATTCTTCTGAAAAAAAAGAAATAAAAAAAAATCATGCAATTGTTGTTAAATGGGAGCCAAAAAAGTACATGCATTTCATGCTCCCTCTTTTGTTAATTGTATAACCCCTTAAACTGTATGCCTTTGAAGAGAAGCTCTTAATAAGAACACAACATTCATTATCATCACTATTACTTACATCAGTCCATACCACAACTTTAGTCTCTCTTCCCTGCACTTCTTGCAGTCAAATAAATATTTCATTTTCTTAAGGACAAAAAGAAAAAAGAAGCAATTTTTCTTGTCCAATGGGAAGACCTCCGTGTTGCGATAAATCGAACGTGAAAAGAGGTCCGTGGACACCCGAAGAAGATGCCAAGATTCTCGCTTATGTGGCGAGCCATGGAATAGGAAACTGGACATTAGTTCCTCAAAAAGCAGGTTCAATTTTTTATTTTTTATTTTTATTTTTTTTGGTGAAATTTTTTTGACAGATAAAGATAAGTCTGCTTATCCATTTATCCATGTAAAAATTTGTTTTCTTTGAGGTTGTAACAGGTCTTAACAGATGTGGAAAGAGCTGTCGATTGAGGTGGACTAATTATCTTCGGCCAGATCTCAAGCACGACAATTTTACGCCCGAGGAAGAAGAATGCATTCTCGAGCTGCACAAAACAATCGGTAGCAGGTCAGTTTTCACATTCTATTTTTTCCTCACTTAAATCATGTTAGATAAAAATCAAGAATATAACGAAGTTTTTTCGAAACTCTTTACAAGTTCGTAAAAAAACCCTTTCAAACAAAACATTTCCTTGTTTATTCGAATTTCATGATCAGGGTGAAAAGAAGAATTATTAATAAAGTCATGATTATGTACTTTAGAAAAAATAACGTATAAAAAGCGAATGAAATGCAATTTGTATATG